TCCTTCCAGATGACTTGAAGAAGAAAACTAGTAAATGTTTCGTCATGGATCATGTATTCTGCACTAATAATTGAAGTTTTCCCGAGAATGAAACTATGTCAATGAATAAAAATAAATATGAGAGAAATGTAATATATGACTAAAATCATTATAATTTTTGTATTGTAAATAAATTTTCAAAGAATTATTCTTTATGCTTACTCGAAATCAATGTGCTTAAATTTAAAATTCTTAATTTTCAAAATAGATGAAGATATACTTGGTACATGAGGATGTGAGTGTAGACAATTGTATGGGAAGAGAGTTCTTGGTGACCGTTGAAATTACGAGTGTGAGGTGTGGATGAACAGTATATTCTAATCAATAAAAACACCCACATCCTACACGTCATCGATATTTAATCTAGATAGTTGCAACGGTATGCCGTGACCTGTATCATTCATTATATAGTGATGCATAGAAGTGTGAATTTCCTGCAAATAGGAATTCACTATATCCTCTATTAATCGATATATTATTTTACAATAGATCAGTATTAAAGTCGTTTTTTTTTTCTAAAAACCATTTGTATCTCAAGAGACTGAATTATGCAATTGCAATCTCCTATTAATATCTTCAGTGTTTATTCTTTTAGTTATTCAATTTTATATTTCTATTTTCAAAAGGATATTTGTTTCTTCTTATTTTTGTATAAAAAAAATAAAAAAGTCATATTAGATTAGAACTTATGCTATTCTTTGTTTTATCTCAAACACATTATTTAGTTTACATTTATTCATAGAATAACTCTTTCTCTAGATCACACACGCATACATAGAAATTCTTCAATAGAGAAAAAAAATCATGAGCAGAAAAACATAGATATTGAGAAAAAAATGAACTTGTGTAAAAGCAAACAGTAGACTATACAGAAAAAAACTACATACAAACGTACGTTAAACGAAGAGAAAAAAAATTGACCATTGATCGAAAATAGAAAAACACAAAATGTTGTTTTAGGTATACAATGATAAAATGAAATTATTTATTAGCTTGTAGGTGACTTGATAATGTACTATGAGATAGTTGTCTTGTATCAAAACTTTTGAGTCCTTCACATACATGATCATACTGCTAAGATCCAGCTAAATCATATGCAGTTACATCTTATTCTTCGAACGCAAAATTGCTCATCAACATTTCCACCATGTTGATATAAGATTCGAACTGTATCAGCATGATTCTTGGCTCCTTACAACAATAACAATAGTTATATCATATTGTTCTATGGTTATGCATATAAATGGACAACATTACATTCACAAAAAAAAAAAGATAAATCATAAATACACATATACAAGAACAGTAAAGATTGAAATATAAGTCGAAATATCGTGTTCTTATTTAAAAGCAATTTATTGAATAAAATAAAAACTCATACATAAATATTCGTTTTAGCTGCATTCTTATCCTTCTATGATATATTCTCGTCCTTCTCAAGACCATTTGGCAACTGTATTATAAGATGGAGTTCGATCATCGAAAACAGCATATAATTCATCATGAATCGATTTCGTTTGAATGTTAAGTGCAGTATGCACATTAATATAGAAGTGAAAATTTTTCTTATTGATCTAAAAATAAGGATACATAGTTTTCATTATAATTTTTCATATGAAAATATCACTGGATTCATGCTACTATAAGGGAGTGGGTGTGGGTGTGGGGTGTGGGTGTGGGGTGTGGGTATGGGTGCCGGTTTTTTCTTCATCCACACGCACACCCCACCCACATCCACCCACCCACACCCATACCCACATCCATACCCACCCACATCCCACATCCATAAATGACCCAAAAAATCTTTATTAAAGAACAAAGCATATCAATACAAGTATTTCTGAAAATATGACCAACTACACCGTGAGCAAAACAATTTGCTACTATAATTAATTTCACTTCCGCACAATAACGAAAGCAAAACAAACGGAACTTAAAGACTAGCTACCAAACTGGCTCGATTCAACCATTTACAACCTAGAACAATCGTCAATAAGTAACGATCATCCAAAACTAAGAAAACATCAAAAGACACAACTCTAATCTAATAAAACACTAGCATATTTCTGTTTCACTCCAAACTTCTATTCTACGAATAAAAACGCATGAGCAAATAATATTACAGAAATAACAAAAAAAAAACATTATCTTCGCACATATACACAAATATACACATCATTTTATTATATTTCAGATAAAGCCATTGAACATCACATAACAAATAATCCGTACAAAAACACCAACAGCACCGACGATAAACATGAAGATGAACATTACTAACACATTACTCCACATCAATATAGTGCAATCGCAAAAAACCATACCACCAAACGAAGACATGGAATCGAGCCATGAGGTGCGTGCCCACATGCTACTAAACAAATACTTACTCAAAATTAAAACGATTACTCATCAATAATAGGACAATCGATTGTACCAATTCTGAAAACCGGTCATGGCATGCTCCTCTGCACATCCACACCTTTCTGGGCTCTAGACTTCATTGCACTTTGATCCATTTTAAAATCTCTTTTAGTCGCTAAAAAATCAGAGAGAAGAGAACAGATCAACCATTAGAATAATACAATATCCTGTATTATGAATTTATTATAGTTAGAGGTTTATTGAAATTATCACGAAAAAAAAAATGTGTCTGTAAAGAATGTATGATGTGTCTGTAAAGAATGTATGATGAGTAGGTTCGAATTTTAGACGCATTTTTACCGATGGACGTAGCTTTTATTTAATAGCTATGAACATTTGAACTCGGTGATTGAAAGTATCTGCCACGATTAAATTGAACTGGCAATCAAGGGTTACCCAATACGGCTGTTTCAATTGGGTTGAATCGGCGCCAGGCAACTGTGTAACTCCCGCAATTGTGGTGCCGTCCGTGTGGCCAGACATAAACAACTGAATTCGATTATTTTCTGTATCAGCTATGTACGTGTTTCCCAAGACATCTTGTACCACACCCAAGGGAGCGTTCAATTGAGTCGGTCCGCTACCAGATATTCCAGTGATACCAGCAATAAGTGTCCAATGGTCGTCACCCAAAACCCAACGAACAACATTGTGGGAGTTATAGTTAGCAATCAACAAGCTTTTTGAGCAAAAGTCAATGCCAAGTCCATAAGGGAAGTTCAACTGGTTAGTATTTAATCCAGCCCCGTTGCCACCGGCAACTCGTGTACCAGACAAGGCACCCAGCGAATATTCCATGATGCGATGATTGCGGGTGTCTGCGATGTATAGTGTACCATCGGTAAGACGTACAAGAGCGGTAGGAAAATTAAATTGATCGTCGTCGTCGTCGTCGCCGGAAACACCTGATCATAAAATTGGATAGAAACTTCATTAGAGAACGCTTATCAACATAATCACACACTTATCCCTCAAACGCAACATCATGTGAAAGGATAAGGTCCTCAATGAAGAAATGGTAAAATGATCAGGATGCTTTTGTAAATTATTCTTTCAGTGCAATGTTCTTATGGCTACCTTTTACTCGAATTTAATGCGCTCATTCATTTTGCTGTCACAGAATAAGAAAACATGCAGTCATATGTTGTGCTACTTGCTTGAAATGAACTGTCAACATGTGACGCTTTCTAGTTGTCCATGATTGCCTGTTTTTCGAGTTCTTCTTTCTAGTATTGTTTTCACACTCTACTATAGCATATTGACCTATTCATAAACGTTCTGTCACAGCATTTTCAATTCAGAGAAATAACCAATTTCCTTCACTTTTGGTACATCATCGTTGCTATCATCTTGTTATCGATGAATGAGAGTCAAGAATCAGGATTCAAACTGTCGGTCATTGTGACATAGTGATCTTCACAAAAGTTTGACGATCATTGATTCTAGTTGTACTAATAGAGAACTACAATAGTAGTCGATTTATTTTATTCTACAAGAATCTAGGACTCTCCTATTGAGAAAAGTGGAATTCTAGTTTCTCCTAGAAGAAATTAGAATACAAAAATGTTTATTGACAAAACACAAATAAAGAGTACAATCCGAATGAATCTTAAGAGAGATTAGAATTTCAAGTTTCCCTACAGAAATGGTAAATTACGCTAAATTCTAAGTTCTCCTGTGACATATATTGTGAAAGATGCATATTTCTACAAATTATAGTCTGAATTTTACATAGGGAAATCATATCCTACGCGTACGGAAACCATATCGGTTGTGCACCTTTTGATTGGTACTATATGCAAGCATAGGTGGCGAAAATTTGGTCACAGTCGAATCTGATGTTGTTATGTTTATCTATCCATTGAGATGAAAAAAAAACGAAAAATTCTAATAGCAATAAAGTCAGCTATCTATGTTGTCATGGCTCCTCACGGTATTGTTCATTTTATTCATGCACAATGGTATGTAAAATAGATCAGGCATAAAATCATACACGTAAGCTTTTAAGCATCTGCTATGGAGCATTTAGCTTCTCTTTTGTGACATTGCCAGTCATTTCGTTTTATTGAATTACGACAGAGCTGCAATAATTAAGACTTTAGCAAAAATATGAATTAAATATGGTCTATGAGCCAACCGCAACTTAATTATAACTTGTTGGGACATATAAAGAAAAGCTTGATAAAATAAATCCAGCTAAAATAGTGTCATGTTGATATTGCCAAAATGAGAAAAAGCAAGCTTTTCTTCAATTGATAGTCTAATGTGAATATGAAATAAAAGGCTTTTATACTTTTTGAAATTTGCTTAGCCTTCTAAAGATTTTAAAACTCTCATCACTCTTGTATGCAAGTGATGACTAGCATGTTCTGAACGGTAAATCAAATTACATCTTCCAATTATACATCTAAAATCTCACTTTAGATTAATATTTTCGAGAAAAAATAATTATAGTCTAGTATGTTTACTGAAACGGAATTTAGTGGGTAGCCCGAGATAATTTGAATATGCAAAGCAACATCTCGACAATGCTTATGTCAAAATCGATTACCTGGAGTGCCAGCGTATGTTGAGCCTTGCGGTGCATCTTTTTCCCAGTACATAACTCGATGATTCTCTCTATCAGTGAAATACATGTTGTCATATTTATCGAGTACTATCCCTGCCGGAAAGTGCAACGCAGTGTTTGATAAACCTGAACTTCCATCTGCGTTGCCAGCCACTGTTGTACCGGTACCACTGTTCATCGTCCATTTTTGAATTCTATTGTTGTGAGAATCAGCAATATAGATTTCATGGTTTTGTCCAATTGCCAGAGTATAGGGGTGACTCAATTGATTTTGACCATTACCTTCAGTACCGTCAGCCATGCCAGCTATAGTTATAGCCGTCTTGCTCCATGTCATTTGGCACACTGTGAATATCAAAAGGATAATGGATAATAGTAGAAAATATGTGGTGCATATAAATATATGAGCAAGTAGCGGAATATTACTTCAAGAAAAACCTTTCTAAACATTCTGTTCATGCATAAATATATAATACTCGATAATATGCTTTGGATGATTTTGTTTTGCGTATAAGTGTCTGATGAAATTAGCTTTTGAGGCGCCCCTAGAGCCAAAACTATAGGTAGCACCTATGTTATATCCACACAAAAATTTCACTTCTGAAGATGGAGCCATGATGAAACTGAATATATAACAATGAGCAGTAGTCATGTTTTGTTTTTTTTACAAATATTCGAAAAGAACTGAATCCATATCAATAGAAAGAGGAGACAACTGGAAATATTCATATAAACTCTTTATCATTTTTATATGATGAGTAATTTTTCTTTCTAACTATCATATTTCGAAAGAGTGTCAGACGCTGCAATTTTTTTTCAGAAAATGGCTCCTCAAAACCAAAAACTGTTTTGTTCACGAAAACTTAATTACTCTGCTATCTTATGTAGCATGTGACAATCTTTCGAATATGATAGTTCGAAAGAAAAATTATTCATCATATAAAAATGATAAAGAGTTCATATGAACATTTCCAGTTGTCTGCCATAAAATAAACGTTTCACTTCATAGACATTTTACTTTTAAAAGTTTTAATGATAAAAAATGTAGCTTCTCTTCTTCTTTTCCTATTGATATGGATTCAGTTCTTTTCGAATATTTGTATAAAAAAAACAATAATTCAAGTTAAATTATCGTCCAGAAAAAATCGTTCAACAGAAAATGACTACTACTCATTGTTATATGTTCAGTTCTACCATAACTCAACATTTAGGAGTGAAATTTTCTATGGATATAGCATAGACGCTATCTTTAGTTTTGACTCTAGGCGTACCTCAAAAGCTAACCTTATAAGATAGTTATACGCAAAACAAAATCGTCAAAAAATATTGTCCAATATTGTATATATCTACTTAAACAATGGGTATTTTGTGTTTTTTCTTCAAGAGAAGTCTTATTTATGTAGATCTGTTTACATCATTCTGATAGTATAATATGAATCCAGCGGCACCTTTCGGGTACACATTTCTCTCAGTAAAAATAGATTTTTAAATAATAATTTCGTACTTTCAATTGATGCAATAGGTACTTAGATTCTGCATTAGAAATAACACCCTCAAAAAGTATTTTAGATGTCAGAAATAGCAGCTTATGATGCCTCAAAACTTTTCTTGAATCTACTGTTACTCAAATGTTGATATATAAGTAAAAGTAAGAGTATCGCATTAGAATTAGTATTAGCATTAAATAATGCTAATATTAATTCTAGTACAACATCCATAGCCCTATTCATTTTCAAGATCTAATATAGACTAGATTTAGAAATTGAAAACAAATGTTTTGAATATATTGATCTATCAGCTCAAATTTAGTTATTCATGCTTAAGATTTCAAGTAGCCAAAACAGAAGATATATTCTTACTTAGTCTTTTATTGTCGAACTTTTTATCACTCTTAATTGTATCTATTGTAATTTAAAGGCATTTTTCATCTAGCATGACTACCTCATGAGTAAGTTGCATGTAATATATGATTGGCGGAGTTCATGCAAGAGAAAATGTGTGGAAACACATCCTCTTGATAAATTTATCTCTCTTATTCATCAATGCCATTCTTTCATATTCTCTTTCTTTACTATTCGTAAGAATAGTGAGACTCCAACAAAATGCGAAAATATGATTTTCACCTTCTCATGAAAGAAAAACGGTCAATGAAAACATCTGTCTAGAACAGTTCAATAGTCTCAAAGTTTTCAACAAAGCTTTGAAATCTTTGCAGTGGAACACAGGATCGACGAATTGCAGCTGAGCAACAACTTTGGGATACTATCGATTTCGACAGAAATCCTAATAGTGAACGAGTACGTATGTCTTGCGTTGTTCACGACAAGAAAGACTAAAATGAGCAGTGTGAAACTAGAATATCCCACCACCCATATGAAACGGTTATTCAGATTGCATTGGGGAAGAAGAAAAAGCACTGATACTTGATGATTGTTTGTCAATTCTCAGCGGTGTGAATCGTCTCGAGTCTACAGAGTTTATTTTAAAAGATGTCTGTCGGACCTTATGAGATTGTTTAATATTTTTCATTTCAGATTTATTTTTAATTGAACTACTTAAGTTTTTGAAGCATAATTTTTAATGAGTTCTTTACGTATTTGCTAAAAACAAACCGCCATCTCATGAAAAATGACTGACAAGAGAACCTCACTAACTGATACATGCCATTTGAGCTCATATTTATACATAGTTACTTATTGTAGGAAGAGTAACTAAATCTTTGTTAATATTCTGCAGACACAGAAGAGAAATTCGCTGAATTATCTTATCTATTAGTTTTGGTGATGTTTCCCAACATGTGTGAGCGAAAACAGAAGCTTATTGAAGATTTTCGTTTCTCTCATCCATGTTTCTTTGGACATGATGGATATACGAAAGATATTTCTTTCATATTTCAAACGGATAAATGTCATGAAATAGGTGTACTAATGGTTCGCGCTGATTAGGTGTTTTCGGTGTCAAGAAGAACTGTGTTTCATTCATTCTCTTTGTGCACTTTCATTAATATTGGACTAATTAATCATTTTCTGGATCTGTCATTTTGTTTTTATTTTTTCCTTCATTAAGTAAACAAAAGCATGCTAGCAATCTTCTGTTTCTCCGCAATAAATAACCATGTGTAATACAAGTTTTAAAAAACTAACTCGTGAAAGTGTTCTTTGATTGAGATACTAGAGGAAAACTTTTTATAGAAAATACAGTGATGTTACTTTTAGAGAAACTTGTTACGCTTATTTCTCTGCAACGAAGCGATAATGAGACGAATCTTTTTAGGATTTTTATCTACACAATGAGCCCTACTTAGGAGTAAAGTATGAGCTCGAATGTCATGTAACAGTTGGTGAGGTTTCCTCGTCAGATGTTGATGGTTTCTTTCTTTACACACAAATAGTGTGGTAGATGTTGAAGTTAGAAGAAAACGAACTTGTCACGTTCTTTGAACTTTTCTTCTACCTTTGCAGAAATAAAAGTCTTTCACAGTTTCCAGTTTTTCCCTTTTTGAATGATGAATACTTCGAAATGATTTCCATACACTGGAAAAAAAATTGGTATGATACCGAACCAAAAAGAGTATCGTGAACGAAAAAAAGATTTCGTACATAGTACGGAACCTAAAAAGGTTTCGAATTCGTTTCAATTCTCTGAATCATTTTAGGTTCGATACAGACTACTACGAAAAACTTGAAAAAGTGTCCTGAGTCAATGACAATCAATTTTAGTCACCCAA